GTGGTCGACCTAAACGTGCCATAAGAAACCATACTGAACTCCTTATACCTGTTAATAGTGGCTGCATGGTGGTCCTGACTACAACAACGAGAAAGCCGGATCGCCTCTTCGCGGCCAACGGACCCGAGATGGAAAGCACTCATTCACAGAGAAATGTTCATTGTTCAGGCCGACAGGTTCTTCGCATTGACGTTTTAAATGCCTGTGACATTGTTACGAGTTTATCCCGGAATGTCCACAGTAAAGTGTGCCAGAAGGCTCTTCATAATCGAAAGTTAGTACTTGGATTTTCGAAAAAGTTTGGTGACAATCGGTAGATTTATTAGTACTTGGATTTTTAGCGCGAAAGTTAGTCTTGGATTTTCGAAAAAGTTTGGTGACAATCGGTAGATTTATTAGTACTTGGATTTTTAGCGCTCTAGTTGTAGCGTAATTTATTTGCTTGCCAGAAGTAACAAGCCCTAACAAATGTGTGTTTTACCAAAATGATGATGAATTCAATAATTTGGTGCTGAGTGTTCCCAAGTTACAGTCCGGACGCGGACCTGTTTTTCCTGAAGTAGAGCTGATACCAGTGTTCCGTAGATATGTGACAACTTTCGGAGCTCGGTTGACTTCCTGTCCTGTGCGTGTGTGTTGGAGCCGAGTTCTATGCCTGTTTGTTGTGTGCAGTTTGGAGAGGGGGGTGTCCCTCTCTCAAAATGGTTGGATGGGAAGTTGTAGTGTACATATTGTCGGCTAAGGTTGCAAGTGGGGCAGGAGTTGTCACGCTGGTTGTGTGTTTGTGAATGACGGCTACATGTTTCATTTCGGACCGGTGACATGTAGAGTGCAGAAGGAGCAGAGAGAGCTGGAGCAAACAAACGGGCCAAAAGAGTCAGGTGGTTAGTCTGATTAGTCAGTAAGTGAACCAGAAAATATGAAATCCCACCGAGCTAGGCGAGCGTTACACTGCGTTTCACGTTTTGCACTTGGCATCCGTTTCGCCCACATCCGCGTGGTTCGATAGTTTTAGCGGAGAGCAGCAGTCATAATATGGCTTGTGCTTGTGGATACGTGGGTGTTATGATATGGGTTTTCTCATGAATAGGTTATTCTTAAGTGGAAAAAATTCGGACCAAATGACACGTGTCAAACGTACGGATAGGTGGGGCATCGAAAGCATTAGTTAGCAAATTTGCGGAAGCAAACAAAATGACACGGCAGCGCGATGAGACCTTCTATGGAACCAAACGCTGTTCCGTGCATTATTAATGGAGTTATCAGAGATGTTTCCACAAGGTTGCGCTAAAGTCTTTCTGCTGGGGCAAGATGAGCTGGGCCGTAACTGCTCGGTTGTGATTGGCTCACAGTCCGACAAATCAGGTCATAGCTTCGTTTGTTCCGCTGGCCGCTCGCGTCGCATCCGTACAAACTTTGCGGTTTTCGGTTACTATAAACGTCTCACTTCCGGCCATTGTATCCGCGACACGGACTTATATCACAGAATGCTTGGATTGCATCCGGAATTGCCGCACGTTACTCTTCGGTGTCTGGTGGCCTGGATTAGTGCAGCCACAATGTCGATGGCAGGGATTCATCTTTAAGTGTGCGGTTTATTTCGGTAAGCGGCGCTAACCGACAATTATCGCTGCACCTAATGACATCGGTGGTAACATCTCTTCATCAAAACGGCATACTTCGTCACCTGATAATTATTTGCCTGCTGTTTGTCGCGAGAGTCGCAAAGGTAGAGGATAACCAGAGCTGTACAGTCAAATATTTCCGCTGTCCATAAATGCACATGGGAAGAATTCATATGAGCTATGAACACAAGCCAACGTTGGGCCACTGCAACACTACGAATGTCAGTGGGCTTTTCGTTAAGGAGATTGGGAGGAAAAGCTGTACACTAAAGGCAACAGTTTGGATTCATAAAGATAAGCGTTCAGCTGTAGCACCCTTCCGGTGCCTAGCTGCCATGCCACCCGAAGGAAGCACGAGGGCTGGGATACTGCCAGGTTGCCCAAGCCTAGACAGGGGAAGTCGAGTGGCGGAGGTCGGATTCGAACCGCGGACCTTCAGGTTAGTAATCCGCGCTCTAACCACATCGGATCTGTTTCTCCCGATAATCGATGAAACTGTCCAAAATAATGCCAGAGAACATCCAGAATGTGACGGGTACCAGGCTGATGTCACGATTGTTTTTGGATGAAATTTTTGAGTCCTTTTTCAAGACGGATGACGGTCCAGGAGCTCCATTCCACTGGTATTCTGTTTTCATACCAAATCTAAAGTATGCTCATCAGGTTGTTCGCTAGGACCTCACCACCTTTGGAGAATGTGCAGACCACCCGTAGTAACTATCTTGTTGTTAACGGCGAGCTGGTGTCGGTGTTCTATTCGGGCCCGCTGGGTTCTAGCATTTGTGTTGGAGGAGATCAACTAAACGATTCTTTGAAGTGTTCGCCCCATATTTTGCGAGTGAATTGCCGTTCTGCCTTTTTCACGTGTTGTTTCGCTGACGCTTGTCTTCTTTCGGTATACTGATCGAATCAGCTGAAATACGGTGCAGTCGTTGCTTGCAGCGGAAGCCTTCCCTATATCCCAGTCCTTCGCAATACACCAGTGTTCTCTATCATTTTTCCTCCCAGTCGCCTCGTAACAGGATTAGTCGCAGTACGGCGACTCGATTTTCTTGCTCAGGCTGCTCCACAGTAGACTTCTTGGGTTGGTTTAACCATGTGGACCCGAGTTCCAGCCGGTACGGCCCGCAAAATCATTACTGGACAAAAGCCCGACCACCATGACATGTTGGCAGCTATTGGTCGGAAACCCAGCTTCCATACACAATTGCATGGGAGCGAGATGGCCCAAGTGGTTAGTGGATTAAGTGACAGTTTGTTTACAACGCGGGTCAAGCTGTGATTGTCGTACTCACCGGAGCACCATTTTCCGTCCCAGTTTTTGGAACAGTTAGCACATGCGATACAAAAGGCTTTCGCTCATTCCCGAAACGGTCGGGCTTCCAAGTCTACTGTCCGGGGTCCCGTTGTGAGTAGTGGATCCGATTAGGGAATTTCCGGTTAGCGGCTGAGTTGTTGATAGTGTTTAGTTTAACGATGGCAGGCCTTTTGTGTCATTCACTGTTTTCACCGGAGGCATCGTTGAGCCTGTTGCACGTATCTGCGGGGACAGTTTCCGCACACCTCTAAATGTTTGCAACAAGATTTCGTCGAACCAGAGGTTATTTTTCAGATGGAAAGAATGAACTTTGTTTGTCGTTCATGCTCCGGCGTGCGTTTTCGCTCCAGCAATTTGACTTTCGATTAATCGTTTAACTTGGAATAGTTGGTCTTGAAGATTTCTTTGTACCGCTTGCACTGGGAGTTAAGAGTGTCACTAGAGAGGGGTTCAAATGTAAATTCCTTGGTTTAGGTTGCGGCTGCATCAGGCGGGGAAACGGGAAGTTCGCTTGAACTGGGACTCAGGAAGTGGTTCTATGGACTCAATTTTTCTTTCTTCGAAATGCTTTTGTTACTGCTGCAATGGTTCCCGGAGCTGATGGAGTTCAGTCGACATCATGAGTTTCTGTTTGGAATTTGAAATAACGATTGTGCGTAGCTCACCTCTTGGTCTGATTCTCGCAAGCTGCTATTTGCGGAAGAACAATCACTGAAGACACATCGAGTGTTTTTAGCGCCAACATCAAGTCGAAAAGTCGTGTTTAGCCTTTCCTACTCAAGGTATATGTAACAATACAATTCCGAAAATGGGGTCATATGCACGCGCCCCTGGCAACCGGTGTACTGCGAATACCAGGAGACGATTGGCGGTTTGGTCCATACTTCCCATCTGTCAGAAGTCGTGCTGATGCTGGACCGGCAAATGGACCGATCTTTTACCCGGTCACTTGCGTTGTAGGCGGTTGCAGCGGCTATCCGTGGTTGGTAAGTTGGTTTGGATGTAGGATTCCGTAGCACAGAACAACTACGACGGTCTGCAGGCGCTACTCGACTGCGTCCACCAGTTCGCTCTCCAGTTCGAACAGAAATCCACATCGCTAAGATGATGTTTTTTCTCTTCATTTGCAGAGCTATTTTCTCAGCCATTGTTTGCCAGAGGAGAGTGAGTGAGGTGGCTTAGTAGTTAGTGCACTAATTTACTGACCGGAAGATCCGTATTTCGAACCCGACCTCTGCATCTCGACTTCCTTGTCTAGGCTTGGGTAACCTGGGAGTACTCTAGTCCTCATGCTTGCTTCTGGTGGCATGGCAGTTGGGCACCGAAAAGATGCTTCAACTGAACGATTTTTTAGCATCAAATATCTTGGCTCATTTTAGTGGTCCAGCTGTCAGGTGAGGTGACTTACACATCCGCGGCTTGCATTCTAATAAAAGAGATTTATTGAAAATATGGCGTGAAATCGGTCCAAATACGAATGCCAGCGCTAACCAGCATACGAGACCTAATCCTGTGCATGCCAACTCGCCTGACTTAAGAGTTTCTTCATCTTTGGTGTCCACGGGAGGCAGTCATCTGGCCCAGAACTGTTGCTGCAATCAAGGAGACCACAGTAATCCAAAATCGCTGATCCTCTGGTTTATACTCTTTTTACGAAACCATTCACAGAACCCAAGTATCGTCATGCTCTGACTTGTGGTGCCGATTTGGAAGAGAACTTCAAACTCGACTCAACACCATCAAAACATGTTATTGGATAGCTATCCACCAGTCGTCACCACGACGCCGGCAAACTAAGAGTTGAATCTACATATGCGCTCCAGTTTTCACTGGTTAGATTGCCGTCCTATCTACTGATTGGAATAGAAATCATGAAGTAATCAAGGGTGTACGTTTTCCGTGGTACTAAACCGATTAAATACGGCGTGGTAGATCTGTAGTATTATGTGAAAATATAGCTGTTTATGGTCTCTTTAAGTCGCGAGAAATCCTTAAAATGCACTGTCGTTTGCAGTCAATATCATATGGCGAGTATCTAACCTTCTGTTTTCTTTCAGCCTCCTGGTCCCGCTATGCTAGAAAGCAACGGCTGCTCAAACGCCTATCTCCCATTTCGGATGCCAAAACCAGGAGCCAACTTTGTATCCCCCCTGCAGAAAGCAGTCGGGTATGATTTCAAATCAGGGGAACTATCTCCATGGTTAGACCAGTGCTACGAGGTGCTTGTGTCATCAACGTACCCAGACCTAAGTTTGTCGTTGCCCATTGATGGTGGTTCGGATGCCGGAATGTTCTGCGTCATTGGTAGCCAACTAGATCTTACTCGTCTAACATTTCATTCAATCATCCCGTCTTCCTCTCACTACAAAGCCAGGCAAGCCGTCAACCCAGGTGATATAATTTTGGCATTCGATAACTATGAGATATCTGGCTACACTCGTCGGGATGCGATCGAATTGTGTGATAAATTATCACGATCTACCAATCCATCCAACCAAATGGATGTCTCAAGACCACGTTTGAAAATTCGGCTTAGTCCACCACAAGCCCTAGCAACAGGAAGTACTATGTTGTCAAGTTTCCTCGGGGCTGCATTTCCACTCAACTCAGCGGAATATTCACTGCAGGAAAGGATCCGGGAAAATGTCTATCAGCGTGTTGTCCCTTGTAAGTGTCTCTTGTCATTTTTATCTATCTAGTGTGTGTATGTATATTTCCCAACATGGATACGTGCCCCTCCTTTAAGTGATCTCGTGTGGACGCTTTTTTGAGTTTCTGTGTGTTTGCTACATATTCCCCGGATTGCTGGTTTTCTTTTGTGCCTGGGTGATTTAAGAGCTTGATGGAATTTATTCTGTCACGTTTATAGTCTCGTTACTTGAGTGGAAAAACCTCAAGGAGGAAGACAAAGGATACCAGATAAGATCGGCTATATTTCAGATGAACCAATGGAAGAAAGAGCGTTGGGGCTCACTTGGCTATAACAGAGAGAAAATGAAATCTTAGTGAAATATTACACAAGGTAGAATTGTTCGTTAGGACCTGACCGTCCTAACAGTTGTGCTAGGTCATCTGCTTCATCTGATTCATTTGCTTGTACTATTAGGGTATCAAGTTCTTTCATTGGTACCCACCGTAGCCAGTGCAGTAACCCAATCGCATGCCTGCTTGTTTTCCTTCATCCTCACAGTATTACGTAGCTTGGTGTATATGGGCCTACACGCACAGAAGCCCCGCGGTATGAAATTTCTTCCACATAAACGTGCAGCGAGCCACGTCCTAAATATCGTTCCATTGCTCTCATTTTTCTGCGACGACTCAAAACCTCGCAATTCAGCTGTAACATTATTTCGGCAAGCAGCTATCATGTAACTCACAAAAGCCCACACAAACCCCGTCATTGCTATTTTTTGACGGCTGTGTTACAGACAGAAGAATCGGCCAGAGAGTTCTGTTGCATTATGTCTTAGGCATAACAGCGAGATTAGCCAATGTGACCGTTTTCCAGCTGTGAGCTACGGAGTACGTTGCAGATTTTCCAAGTGCATAAGGAGACGAGAACAAGAGACGAGCACTGTTAGGATCGAGTTCTGGAGCACATATTTGGAGCGAATGCATGGCACCTATTATGGACTGGGAGGCTTTGATGCTTCAAAAGACTGGACAGACTGACGAACGTTCCTAGCAGTAGTGGTGGATAGTGATCAACGGCGGGGCTGCTGCGCAAGCCGCGAGACAGATTTTCGGAAGGAAATAATTAAAGTAATGCTACAACGCTGGGTGAAAATTTCAACTTGTTCACATTACAGCAATATGACGTTCTTAAGAATGAGGAGTAGGAAAGTTGGGTTAGCAGTGCTTACAAGTTTCCAGAGGGATCGACTTCTAGAAGTTGCATCAGATAATGAATCAGCCATACTACTAAAAACATGTTGATCTTGCCAATGATGACAAAGCAGTAGATCAGGGAATCACGCAGTCGCGATGTTTGGAGAGGTATTCATTCACTGATCATACAACCCATTATTTTAGTGCACCGCCCGGAGAGGAGCGTGATTAAACCATTTGGAGAACAATGTCTGTCCAGGGTTGAGAAGTGAGGCCTAAACCACAACATGTGGTCCTAAAGAGCAGTAGTAACACTCTCAGAGAAAGGGGAACCATCATTCAAAACACAAACTTCCTAGGAGAAACAAATAACTGATACATACCAACTGAATGGTACCGTCATTAGACATGGTGCAGTATGAAGGTGAGTGGAATAAATGAACGTGAATGTACATAAGTAATGAGACAGTGATGATAAGAACTATATGGGAAGAGCTGATTGGTTGAGAACAGATTGAGGGCCTTCTGGCAATCCGTTCTACGATTCGGAATTTGGGTTGCCAAATAGAGTCGGAAGGCGGTAATTTTAGAATACTCTACCTAACTAATCGGCGTGGGTTTAATGGGCAAGCCAATCACTGTTGTGCACGTTAAAGTTGCTGACAATACACAGCTCAACGGTTGGGTCTGACTGTAGACTGGCTTCACAGCTGACATTCAATAGAGAGAAAATTTGAGATGCCTCATCACGATTTAGAGACTGGTGAACACAACAATATTTCCCAACTCCCGAAAGTCTTTTCAAGCGAGGTCAATCGAGCGCAAACATAAAAGCCATCTTTAAAACGCACGCAGTGATGGTGGGCGCAACCTGGAAACTAGAGGTAAGCGAGGTCACAGTTACTGGCGATGTGGGTCTCTGTGAGAAGTGGGACAGATGAGCTGCGAAGCAATATAGGAGGCGCTAACCTTACTGTTCAAATCACTGATGCTGCGCAGTGAGGCTTTGAGCGCTCCAGGCGAGCGCTTATTCTGTTCTTTGCGTGTCGTTGTGTTTAAATCTTATGTGGAAGTTGGAAACCCAACCCAGGGAGCTTGGAGTGGTGAAGCATATGAGGGTTCTTTAGTTGCGAGACCCAGGTAGGTGCCTACCACCAAAGGCTTGTTTGGTTTTGTCACACAGCAGTCTCTACATTTATATATCCCAGTAGTTACCATGCTCCGCTTGCAAAGCTCCGGTGATTCAACTGTATGAGAAGTCTTTGCAACCTGCCTCATTCGAGCCAACTTTTGGTTTTGTAAGCTAATATTTTGACCATCATTTTCAAGGACATTGCTTTCGTGAGGAACGCGCTAAGCCTGTTCTCTAGGGAGATCCAACAGGAGTGACATCATGTCCCTTTCCCCGGTTGCTCACTGCTGAAGATTCACCACATATTGGTACATTCTTGACTTGGTTGTTGTATAGACAGATGCTAAGATCATCAACGCTCCAACGTCTGAAAAGTGACATCAGTGGTGCAGATCAGTCGCGAGATTAACTAGATAATGCATTCAGGCCAATAACAGGTGGGTTTGGTTGCTTGAACAGTATTGTCTACAGGCTATGTTCGCATCTCATTAGGTGCCTCCTGCAACTGAGTCTCTTGAATACTGACCAAAGTAATAAAAAACACATTACCGTTGTTTAAATATTCCATCACAGTCGGAGAAGCTGCTTGGCCATTAGACTCAAAACGCGCGTTTCACCATTGATCGTAAACTATACGGGCAGATAGTTTGAGTGGCCATGAACAGTTTATTTGGCTCGCTATTTGCGGACATTGTTAGTCTACTTTATGAGACATCAACCCAGCGAATCAATAGTATGTACCATTGCGAACACTACGTTGGTGACACGTGTGTCATATGGAAGGATAGCCTTCATACGGAACAGATACACCAGTTTCCAAACGCACTCCACCCCAACATCAACATGAAATGGCTTATATTCTTGGCTGTGCGCATTAGGATGGAAGTAGGTGACTCTATAATTATGAGTATCAACCAAAGGAGCGCCAGTCTATATGTACTGCGAAACTTCTATTCATTTCAGTTACAACAGGATGCTGGTGCGCAGTCTGTTAACCAGGAGCACAGAATGTTCTCCTTACAGACCTGCGAAATAAGCTCAACGTTTCTGAGCATTTCGGGGTTGAGGCACTTACTGATGTCATTCAACCTGCACAGAGGGGACGGTACAACCGCTGCCACCTGTTGGAGGTAGTTCGACTATTCTGATCACCTCAAAACGCGTTCGTTGTGTTAAATCTTATGTGGAAGTTGGAAACCCAACCCAGGGAGCTTGGAGTGGTGAAGCATATGAGGGTTCTTTAGTTGCGAGACCCAGGTAGGTGCCTACCACCAAAGGCTTGTTTGGTTTTGTCACACAGCAGTCTCTACATTTATATATCCCAGTAGTTACCATGCTCCGCTTGCAAAGCTCCGGTGATTCAACTGTATGAGAAGTCTTTGCAACCTGCCTCATTCGAGCCAACTTTTGGTTTTGTAAGCTAATATTTTGACCATCATTTTCAAGGACATTGCTTTCGTGAGGAACGCGCTAAGCCTGTTCTCTAGGGAGATCCAACAGGAGTGACATCATGTCCCTTTCCCCGGTTGCTCACTGCTGAAGATTCACCACATATTGGTACATTCTTGACTTGGTTGTTGTATAGACAGATGCTAAGATCATCAACGCTCCAACGTCTGAAAAGTGACATCAGTGGTGCAGATCAGTCGCGAGATTAACTAGATAATGCATTCAGGCCAATAACAGGTGGGTTTGGTTGCTTGAACAGTATTGTCTACAGGCTATGTTCGCATCTCATTAGGTGCCTCCTGCAACTGAGTCTCTTGAATACTGACCAAAGTAATAAAAAACACATTACCGTTGTTTAAATATTCCATCACAGTCGGAGAAGCTGCTTGGCCATTAGACTCAAAACGCGCGTTTCACCATTGATCGTAAACTATACGGGCAGATAGTTTGAGTGGCCATGAACAGTTTATTTGGCTCGCTATTTGCGGACATTGTTAGTCTACTTTATGAGACATCAACCCAGCGAATCAATAGTATGTACCATTGCGAACACTACGTTGGTGACACGTGTGTCATATGGAAGGATAGCCTTCATACGGAACAGATACACCAGTTTCCAAACGCACTCCACCCCAACATCAACATGAAATGGCTTATATTCTTGGCTGTGCGCATTAGGATGGAAGTAGGTGACTCTATAATTATGAGTATCAACCAAAGGAGCGCCAGTCTATATGTACTGCGAAACTTCTATTCATTTCAGTTACAACAGGATGCTGGTGCGCAGTCTGTTAACCAGGAGCACAGAATGTTCTCCTTACAGACCTGCGAAATAAGCTCAACGTTTCTGAGCATTTCGGGGTTGAGGCACTTACTGATGTCATTCAACCTGCACAGAGGGGACGGTACAACCGCTGCCACCTGTTGGAGGTAGTTCGACTATTCTGATCACCTCAAAACGCGTCTACAAACATGGGTGGCCAACTACCCATTGTTCATTTCCATTCTGCTCACGGTATGGTCCTTGAGTAGGATCTCCTTTTCCATTCCAGCAATGAGCTTCTATTTTCGCAATAAAATTGCGTATGATAGTTCAGCTGTACGATCCTTTCGAAGCATAGGTGCCGTGCGACATGAATAAAGCATGAAGGTAGAGGTACTGCCAGGTTGTGCAATCATATACAGGAGCAGTTGAAAACTAAGGATTGGGTTCATACTATGGGGTTGTCCGTCAGTAGTTTCGCCTCTTCACCAATGAGCTATCTCATGTTCATTCTCACAGTGAATTTTACTTCTGAATGGTCCTTCCTTGTGCTTGAGCCCCACGTCAAATATGGGAACACGTTTTTCGTAGTTATCCTTCGCTATCCTGGATATCTTCTGATAAGTATTTGTATCGTATTGTATTAGCCAAACATCCAGAGCTACTTACACCTTTGATACTTCTGTAACTCTTTTGTAGGTACGACGCGTTTGCCGAGGGCTGAAGAGGTTGATGGAGTTCATTATCGGTTTATGAGTGTACCACAATTTCTCGCTTTGGAGCGTAGTGGACAGCTGCTTGAGAGTGGAATGTATAATGGTAAGTTATCTTTGCCGCAGAATTTTGATGTAGGAAGCATTTGGTATAGGAGAACCAAACAATCAGTTGCTTGCCCGTTTGGTTTCATATTTTATCATAAGGTAACCGACAGCATTTGTGTGCGAAAGATCTCCAGAAACCCCGCATTTGACTACGCTGACCTACTCCAGATGGTGTGGGGCCATCGCCTTCAACGCGGGACTCTCATTCCCTGTTTTTATTTATCCTTAGTAAGCGAAACTGTAGCGGATGGAAAACCGTATCTCAATGCATGGTTCGTGAGCTGAAAAACTGAACTTTGTAGATGATTTGAATTTCGATGACACCCTCAAATGATGTAACCATTACTGGCCACAGCACTAACCAGTTACTCTGAAACGCACTACTTTTATCAAATCTCAACAAAAGTGTAAACCGGACGGTGATTAGATCCTTGGGACATGCCGTGCAAACCCATGGGAGGCGAGGACAGAACATACGATCTCGCGCCTGCTTCAAACCATTCTGGAATAACTATAACGAACCGTGAAGTTTAATTTTGGGGGAATTTCCCGGTACACTGATGCAATTCTGGTGCGAGCGTACATTTTTTCTTCCTACTCAGACCCCCCACTACTACATATTGTCCAGCCGGCAGCTGTCTCAGCTTTTGGGGCGGTTTGCTATCATCTGGCGTCGTGAATTTGTCGGCACTGAGTCATCGTGACCATTTCGCTCAGGTGGGCCGCTTTAGCGCACAAAGTTTAGTGTAGCCCACGTAGCCTTTGAGGACAACATGGTGCATTTCTTTGCATTGTCAGTCCCACACGATGCTCTCAAAGTCATGTTCAAAATGATGCATGATAGTTGAAGCTTTTAACCATCAGACCCGATCAACATTTCGGAGACACCGAGGTAGTGTGGGGAGACCTGGTGAGTAGAGAGCGGCAAAGGTGAATTATACATCCTGCTTGCCGAAGTCAAAGAAGGAGGTTTGGTTGAGATACGCGCGCCTTGAGCGTTTGACTCAAAGTTCTGCCCCGCAGGACATTCGGAGGATTTAGTGGTTTTGTTTCGGTAACCCTGACCCTAGCCTCCGACTGAAAGGCTGAACTGTGAGGTATTGGTTCTTATGGTTATCTTGGAAGACCCTTCCCGCAGCCAGTGACTCGATAGTCTGACCCAGTTGGTTGCAGGCGGTCGGCTGGCCCGAAGACTCAGGATGTAATGAATTGCTTCTTCACACTTGATACTTCTGCGCACAGCAGATACCTTTTGAGTAGCATTAGACTCTGGTTTTAAAAGTATTTCAACCATATTAAATAATGTGCAGGCGGCGACGGTCAACCTTTGGGCAATCGGAGTTCGCAATTTTTAGGATCGACCTTTTCTAACCCCTCCCTCCTCGGGGAAAAGCTACATTGCTGCCTCCATAAATGTGTACGTGCTTGTCGCTTGGACGAAACGCCTTACTGCCACCGCACTCCTATCACAGGGGACAGTACGACTTCAAGTGCAGAGCGCCTCGTAATAGGATTACTGGCAGCACGGAGACTCGCTTTTTTTCGTCGGACTGCTCTTTGTTGGTCTTTCTTCCATGGTTGAACCTTTAGGAGCCAAGTTCCAGCCAATGTGGCCCGCAGGATCTTTGTAGCATAGAAGCCCGACCACCACAATAAGGTGACAGCTTTAGTTCCAGCCTGATCATGAATAACACAGTATTTCCTGAGTGAGCATAAATTTCAGCTTCAACTGATGCAGGATAACAGCGTAAGCTGAAGTTTCTATGTGGTCGTTTCCAGGGTTAGCTGTTATATGATGAGGTCACCGATCACCGGGTGGTTGATGGAAAAGACGTTACAGGTCAACCGCTAAACTAAGTGAACAGGTCAGTAGCCATCGACAAATTCGCTCCTAGTTTGGGGTTCTGTCATGTTGGCGGATTTTTCACAATGAGTCTAATATATACCCTCTAGTTTTGTGGTGTATTTTAACCGAGGGGTCCAGATCACGGACGCTTACTTACGTATAGGTGGACAACAACCCTATGGTTGCAAGATTTACGTACAACGCTTGATTTTTATCCCCTTACTAATCTATTTTCTGGAACCCAGTGTGCGAAATCTCCGACGAAGCGTTGCTTTGACGTATTTTCCATTCCTAAGAAGAATGTCCCATCCGGGTCTTTGCAAGACGACACCGGTCTTGTGCTTTCATCTCTCCGGTGTTCTCTTTTAACAGTCTCGAAGGTAGTAACGTTGGAAGCTTGGTTGTTAAAACATTGAGCCTCAGTACGACTGTCGACGCAAAATGCCTGTTGCGGTTAGATCCCGCTTTCAAACTCTTAGAGTAGATGTTGCTTAGCGGTTAGTAACCTTCAGCTCCTCAGCCTTTCCCAGTTCACTTGCACAAGAATAATACTAGTAATGACGGAAGCCGTATAATCAGTTAGAGCTGGTGTCTGAAAGGTCCCGTATCCTTATGAAGCAAAACCCAGAAGTATCCATTCACAATGCCTACGGTTACCAAATAAATAAGACATATGCAGCTAAGAAGTACTATGCCGTTAAAGTGCTGGATGTGGTGTGGGAAACAACGAGGCACGGTTTTAGAGCAAAAATTATCTACCAAACATATGTGTCCGCGCGAATCCCATCCAGCTGGTCACCAGACATTTGCTGTTGGGAGAGCACGACCACTTGTTGCAGACCACTGTACTAAAGGATACGTTGGTTCGGTTAGAACTAAAATGGAACTATGTTTGGAGTTTGCGGATCAGCAAAGAGGGCAGTTGTTGCTCTGACAATTCCATATTTGTCTTACTCAAGCTGTTTGTCTTACAGTCTGCTCTCCTGTATGCTGCACTCATTGACTGTGGAGAGCTTGATTCTATGTGCGTTACTTTGGCCCACTATTCGGAACACAGCAGAGTTTTTTCAACTCTAGGATTCACTGCATGTAAGTTTAACGAGTTTTCACTTTTCTCTCAACAGGCAACCACTATGGCACGCCCAGACCAGAACCAAGTGCAACGGCACTAGACACTGTCTTATTGAGTCAGCTCTCTCTGTCTACTTCCTCAAGCGTTCACCAGGCGGACGACTCTTGTCCAATCCCACCACCGTTGCCACCACTGGCCTCTTTAACCAACGTTGTAGCGAATGCCTCTACTCCCTTTGTAACGTCTTTCCCAACCCAGCATCCAACACCTCCGCGACCCCCAACACGACACTCTTCGATTAGCAACCAGAGCAGCAAGGATAACATGATGCTTTCAAGCAACCCTCATGCGTTGGGCGAAAAACTTGAGCCATCCAACGAAGGGACTAGTGACCGTATTGAGCCAACCGATTCGGTTACTCGAAACCCGCGATGGAACCAAATGAATGGGAATGGAAGTAATAGCTACCTTTTGGACTGTGATATTGCTGATGGGCATTGGAAGAATCCGGGGGTTTATGTTGGGCTGGTTACAGATGTCCCGAAGAAGGATGATTCCCAAGTAAGAAACGCCACTCGATTCTTCAGCTCAGCTGGGTGTGTGCGTCTACGTATTTCATCGCGGTTAGGACTGATCAGGTATATGTAACAGGATTCGACAGCCTAATGCTGTTGCCCGGAGGGTATTTTCCTCATCAGCATACTTCTATTATTATTTATGTTGCCACAACCCGTGGCTATTGGAGGCTTTCTTCAAAAAAGTATTAAAAACTAAAATATTGCACCTACCGACACTTGTTTACCCTTTTTTCCGTCTCATGCGTCATTCACTCGCTTAAAATGCACCTGTAATTCACTTGGTAACAATTTTATCTTTCATAGAGGCTTTGCTTGTGGGTTACTTTGGATTTTCGGTTACATGACTGCTCCACCCTTGGGTGCTTGGGATTCCCTTATGCATTTCTGAGTAATACACTTTCAGAGCCATAATCAGCTGTTTCGGTTTTCTCCACTTTATCTGTAATGGCGAGGACTGAAAAAAAATACTTCTATAGCTATGATCCTACTGCTGCTATCATGCTGCATCGCTTATTTAACCCCTTCCATCATGAATCAATATGCCATACACCACACCTTCCACGTCCTCCGTATCCGGCTTGGAGACGCCTTAGTTCCCTATGATTAATGAAGTTTTATGCCACTGAGAATCGGCCGATATCCGGTGATTTAGTTCTGACATTTGATCTGGTTGGCCAATTCACTAAAGTACTTGAATCGACATACCAACTACTGCGAATGCCTTGGTTTATTTCTGATCACTTTTTATTTCCCCCTTCGACCGTTGTCGGAAGCATGCTACATAAGCCATCACTCTCTTCACAGCCATGTATCTGGCAGTTGCCATTATTTTTTAAAGGCGTGTTTTTTCGTTTTGGTCGTACCTGAGATATAAAGGTCGCTTCACCAAAGTAAATAAATATGTCATATCGTTTGGGGTAATCGCACTGTGCAATCCTCGATTTGTCAAAACCGAGTCAGAATTTATATCGGTGCACGCCGCAGTCACTTCCAGACAGACCATTTGTTCAACATTCTACTTAGTTTACGGAGTTGGTGTCGATTATTTTTCGTCATAGAGTAACAAGGAAACTTTGTCAGAAAATGTTGTCACGTGGTTTAGAAAGACCTTCACAATCGTTGTGATGTCACTCATCCAGACAGATCACAACAATCATCGATTCTGTTAATGAGGATCTATACTTTTTGTGCTGCGAAGAACAACTGGCACATTGCTGTTAGATGTTACTCTTATTTAAAGGGAATAACAGTCCACTGTGTCACTTCCCGGTAGATTAGATGTTGAACTTAATTCCAAGTAGCAATTGATTACTTGTTGTGTTTTGATTATTCACCTAATGGTTTACTGTGGAACGATCAATTTATCTGTTTGAAGTCAGTCTGTCCTCTTGTGAAAGTCGGTCGTGGTACAGTTAATCAAAGCAGCGCTGCGTCAAACGAATCCGGCGAAATTATGCGATTTCTGTGCTGCTGCGTACTTCTACGGTTCTACATGGAACCCTGTCAAAGCGTAAACTACACTTTTTTTTGCTAGCATTCAGTATATCTTTTAGTTACTTAAAACAATACATTCCTGCCGTTTAGATATCCTCTTCCATCCTTTTTCTTACAGAAGCCATCGGATTTATGGAATACATTGCCTGTTCCCAACAGACCATTACCCTATGGTTGGGAAGTTGTTCGTGATCAGAAGTACGGAACATTTTACATCGATCATCTCCATGAAAGGACCCAATATGAGTCGCCCACGGAAGAAGATTATGCATTAGCGGAGGCTATTAAGGCAAATCACAGCTCTTCATTCAATTCTGCCGAATTACAAACATCCACCGCGGCTGCTGTTCCGTTCACATCAGTGTGTAGTGTCCGCCAACCACAGCGGTCTTCTGCTGCTGCTACTTCACACTCCGATAACCACCGGGTTCCGCCGACTGTATTTACCACAGATCCAAACCAATTGCCTGGCCCGTTGTTCACCGCCTCACTGGTAAAGAGCCCTCGGGGCTTCGGATTCACGATTGTCGGTGGAACGGATTGTAGTCGACCAGGCTTCCTCCAGGTTTGGACCGATGTCTTGTACAAATGCAGTATAAGATGCCTTTCTGTTTAGTTTCATCCTGTCACCATGGTTTGGAGAAACCGGTTTATGGGTGATGCCGTTGGTATGATTAGTAAAATGGGTTGTCTGATATGCGAGGTGACCGTGTTGCCACCACTTCATCAGCGTACCCTGGATGCACGTGATTAATCGAGTCTGAATAAACGAATTTACTCACGCCTACGTGATATGACGGCTCAAATGATGACGTAGTGACTATCCCGGTTCCGTCGGTCAACTGAGCCACATGTCAGGACTTCTCTGTCTGATATCACCGCGGGAGCTTAAAACTATCTGGACAGTTTTTTTGGTTGTAGATGGTTGAGGGGTTTGTAGAATTCACATTCATGCCACCCCTCTTTGAACAGTTTTCCTCCTGTTCTGGTGGAATTGTTCTGGTAGGTTCACACCAAGGGGGTAAAGAGTAAAGGTTTTATAAATCCCAAACGGTCTCATCCAAACTGTTTGTGAAAAAGTCAACACTGAGGTGACTTCACTTATTTCTGAACATGGTTTTGGTTGGAGAAGACGAATAGAGACAACTTTTAGCACTTTCGAATCCCTGTTGTTTTTGGAACAGCAAAGAACAATGTGTGCACCAACTGCTTTAACTGATCAACTCGTATAATATACGATCCTATTACCTACACTAATTTGAATTTGCCATGAGGCTGTTTCACACTGTTAACTGCTGCAGTTCGAGTTTTCCACTTTCAATTACAGAGCTTGACTCAGATTTTACGTTATTTTTTTTAAAAAAATATTATTTTCCTGACAGTTTTGCTTTTTTGATGTGATCACTCTTCTTGCCTCTTCTCGAAATTATCACCATGTGATATAGTCCTGAACGCGCTTTGCTAGATTGGATCCCTGGCTATCAGTCGTCTTTGCGCCCTCCGGTTATCCAGCTCAATGAAGCTTAACGCCTCCCGGCCTATGCCTTAGCGGACTGCGGTTCTGACGCTGAGAAGGATGCTTTCTATCAAGAGCTATCCGGATTTATTCGTCGAGCACTGACATCATGCTCCTCGCGGGCGATATAAATCTTCAAGTCGGTCGTCTCAGCTCCTTGGAATCGCATCTGGGTGGTCGATTCGGAGTTGGTTCATGTCGCACAGATAATGGAGAGCCAATCCCACAATAGTGTGTTGATCATGAACTGTTTCCGACCAGTACGATCATTCACCATAAACGGTTGCATCGCGTAACCTGGCGGCCACCAAATTAATCAATCATGGACCCAGCTGGATTACGTGGCCAGAAGCCACCGGTGGAGGGCCACAATTCAAGACTGTCGTTCCTTTTAGGACGCACAACTCGATTCCGATCACGCCTGACAGTTTGTTTCCCTTCAGTCCCTCACAAGTCAGTAAAAAGTATATCAATCCATCATCTTCGAAGGACTTCCATAGCTCAACAGTATCGATCTGAGCTAGCTCAACTACTCTCTACAGTAAATCAATATTGTGCTGGTAGTGAGCGTGTGGATGGAGCATGGTAAAATGTGAAAAGTGCTATGCTAGCTGCGTCCAGTGCTGTCTGACATCTCAACTTCGATCGTAACACAGTTGGATGTCTTCGATATCGCTATCCATGATTGATCCCGGGAAAGCCATACCAGCAGACAACGAGTACGACGCAAATTCCTCAAACGCCAAATAGTGAAGAGTCCGAGGAAAGACCGGTAGCTCTGGTGGATATCGAGAGCTCGGGAGTTGGAAAAGGCTTTTGCTGTGGAAAGAACCGTGCTCTATACCAACCGATACGATTGACTGGCCCTACCAAGGTAACAGTCAGTTAAAAAGATGGCGCATTAATTCCCTCTCAAAAACACCGAACTCTTCGAAGAACAGTTTAGCTGGCCTCCTGCAAGATAGCCTATGGAGATAGTGCCTACGGGCGAATGAAATGTAAACCTTAATTGTCCGTTGGAAAAAGAAATGAAGCACGAAATATTCACACTGAAACGTGAGAAGGCACCTCACACCTTTAATTGGTCATCTTACCTGAAGAAAAAAAGATGCTCAGATTTCCCCCAGTTAGACTGGTTTTCCTGAGTTCTTGGCTCGTTTGGTCGTTCAGGTTTGTTGTGCTCCGGTATCCACTTGCCATTTAAGATAAACTCTTGTGCGTTGGAAACCTATCCTGTTCTTGATAAACAAGTTAATGTGATGTTGGATCATGTAGTCTCACATCCTAACACTATTTATCGTATAATGTATGCTTATTGTGTATGGTACACCAGCTGACATTTGTGTCATGGAATACATGCTTCCTGGTGGCTTACATCTTCTCCGTTTCTACTCTATAGATCAAACACCTGATACCCGGTGGTCCCGCATTTCTGAACGGTAATCTTACTGTTGGGGACACCTTGGTCACAGTCAATTCGATCAACGTTTTGGGATTCACTCACTCTGAGCTAGTAGCTCTGTTCCAATCAATCCCGGTCGGGGCAACGATCCAACTGGTCGTATCCCAAGCTTTTTGTCTTGCCGATGAACTGTGTGCTTCACCTATCGTGAATGGATCTGTAAAGGTGACCGAGTCGTGCGCAGCCAATGAAATGGATGTTCCGGTACGTTAGGCAGAGAGTAGACATTTTTTTGAGATCTGTTCTATCATGAATGTTGTGAAGTGGAGTTGTCTTGATAGACTGCTTCGCTGGTTCGTTCACTTGTCTCCTTTCTTGACAGTCATAACCCACGGTTTAATTAATCATTCCTTGAACGTGGCTGCAGTGGCTAGAATCACTGCACTTCGACGCACGAACTGAACTGAGCTGATTAAGCGTCGTACTCCCAGCGATTAGCCGTCACCTGCAACATTTGATTACCTGTTTACCTAGTCACATGTACCATGCACTCCGGGCCCCTGTTCACTGACTGATTTAAAATGCGTATATATATATATATATATAT